TACAAACTTAGTAACTTAAACAAAAAACATTTATTTAATTATAGTTCTGTACATCAGAAGTTCAACATATAAAAACAAGTTGTTGGCAGGGCTGGATTTTTTCCCACAGGCTCCTGGGGAGAATCTGTTTCCTTGCTCATTGAGGGTGTTGGCAGAATCCAGTACCTTGTGGGTATAGGATTGAAGTTCCAGTTTCCTTGCTGGTGGTCTGCTGGTGCTGCCCTTAGGTCCTAGAGGCTTCTCTGGGGTCCCTGTACATAGTTCCTACATCGCAGAACCAACAACAGGGCGTGGAATCCTTTGTATGCCGCCATCTCTCTCACTCCTTTTAGTTCTTATTCTTCTGTGATATTATACTGGGCCCACCCAGACAATCCCAGATTTCTCTTCCTATTATAAGGTCCATAACCTTAGCCACAACTGCAGAGTCTCTTTTACCATGTAAGGCAACATAGTCACAAGCTTTGGAGGCTAGGGGGCGTCAACATATTTGGGGGCCGTTATTCTGCCTAACACACTCTCAGCTAAAATCATCTGGAGCCCTGGCCAGTTTGGCTCAGCAGTTAGAGCGTCGGCCTACGGTCCGGAGAGACCCGGGTTCGGTTCCCACTAAGGGCGCGTACTTCGGTTGCAGTTTGTCCCCGGCCCCGGTTGGTCGTGCGGGTGGCAGCCACTCGATGTGTCCCTTCACGTCGATGTTTCTCTCTCTCTCTCCCTTCCTCTCTCTCCCTCCCACTCTATCTGTACAAAAAAATGGAAAAATATCCTCGGGTAAGGATAAAAATAAATAAATAAATAAAATCATCTGGAAAAGCTTGGCCGTAGGTTGATCAGTGTGACTCAATGGTGGGACCCAGCCCTCATGATGCCTAGGTCAGGCTTCACCTTTTCATCACACTCACAGTTGGTGTCTGTGCGTGCTGACTTAATCTTGTTTCTAGAAGTGGAATTAAAAGGCACTATCAGAACATCCAGCACCCCTCCCTGATACCTCCATCTCTCCCTTCTACCCCAAAGAGTAGTATTTGACATTTAAACCATTCAAATCCAATCTTAGTGGGATGTTAAGAATGAAGTTTTCCTAGGTATAGAGAAATAAGACTTTTCCCTATGAGAGTATCTATTTGCACATTTTTATAACAAAATATTAAAACAGTTGAGCATAAAGGTGTACCATCCTGTGATGACTTAATGTTTTCCCTGATGACATTCTTTCTACAACACCCAATTTGGCCCCCACTGGAAACTTGACTGTTTTTCATTTGTGCTGTTTCTTCCAAGTGCAGGAAAATCTTCTTCTTCTTTTCATTCCGGTCACAGTGCTCACAGCGAGTGGGCAGGGCAGAAACAGGCGCAGCAGGCCACGTGGGCCAGTGAGTCAGTAGGAAAGTAATCAATGATAAAAGAAAATGGACCATCGCCAGAGGAGGGAATGGACCCCTCAGCACTGGGAAAGAAAGGGGCTGAACTTCGTGCCCTTTAATCTGACACAGGATTAAAGCCATATGAGTTGTTGGTTTAGAGAGGCGAGTACAGAAAAAAATGCTACTAATGTCAGAAGCAGACAAGTACAGACAGACCAAGGGCTGTTTTCAGGTTCTCAGGGGCTACAGGACTTTGCATATCTGCCCCCAATCTCTTCCCTACTCACAAATGGGTCTGCTTGACAGTAGCAGCTTCTTTTTCCATGAAACACTCGGGCGGTATTCCCCAGGGTGAAGCAGTGTCATCTGGGAGCCATTCTTGGAAATACTGGGGACCCACTTGGAAATACTTCCAAGGCTCCTCGATAAGACTGCCTGTAAACCTCCCGTAGGGAGCGCTAACAGATTTGCATGCTTACTCACAGCAGATTCTTTCTCTCCACTCCCCTTCCCAGGACATGATTGTTTGGTCCCCAGTGGTCCCTTCTGATAAGACATGCCCTGCATCTTTGATGTGAATTCAGTGCGTAAAATTAGCATCAAAAAGTCCTGGAATTCTTCCCATAACCTCAGCTAGAGAGGAATTCAATTCAAGTCTGTGCAGCACCAGTTACCGGAGCAGTGAGGGAAGGCACTGTGGTCCATGCCTGTAACAACATTACGTCCCAGGTCAGTAACAGCCTGGGCGGGGGCAAGAGCTTCAGCACCTTCATCTAGTGTCTGTTCCTCATCATTTGGGAGAGTATCTATGGGAACCATTTCAAGGTTCAAAGTCGTGGCTCATGGAGGTGCCAACCATTAACAAAACTAGTTTCTTTTGAGAGTACAAAGCTCTGCACAGATGTGAGCTGAGGGGAGGGCAGCTGGCAGAGAGCAGGTGAGCCTTCCAATGGACTTACATGACTTGCCTTGATAATGATGGGAACTCTTAGATTGATGTCATTACAACTGAGCTTGCTCTAGTTTTATATTCATTGTTGTTAGGAATTTTTTTTATTTTTTGGCTTCTGGGAAAGGGAGTATGTGTGAACGCAGCAGCCCCCGCTGGTCCCGAGCCCCGGTGGCGGTGGCGGAGGCGCAGACGGCGCCATGGTGCTGAGCACGCACCAGCCCAACTGGAAAACACCGAGGACTGGGTATCTCCGTGGTTCCCCTGGGGGGCAGCGGTCCGCATATCCGCTGGCTGCAGAAGTCTGGACAGATTCTGTGTCATTCTTAGGCTAAAAACGTCACCAACCTCACCCGGCTGCCGGTAAGCGCCCTGTGGTCACCAGGCCAGGGGCCGGAAACCACCTGAAGTTCCCTCGGGCACCACTGCTGCCAAAGCGCGGCTAGGCAGTACCTCCCCGAACGCGCCGGTCTCCGAGCCCAGCAGCTCAGCAGGGTCCGGCCTGCGCAGTGCGGGGAAGGGGCCTTGCTCTAGACTGGAACATAGAACATTTGCTGGCTGGCGGGGGCGCACCGAATTCTGTGGCACAGTCAGCCCTGTGATGGACCTCAGGCTGGCGCCCAGTTCCCTGTGGAAGTCACCATTCCTAGGAGAGCTCATCTTTCCCCACCACTTGAAGAACTCGCAGGCTTGATCCTTCCTACAGATAAAGTAGTTTTGTTTTATTTCTTTTCTTTCTTTCTTTCTTTTTTTTGTCATACTGTGAAAGCAAAGTGCCCAAGAGTCTCTTTTCAAAACTCCAAGAGGCAGAACTCATTTCGAAGTTGAGACCAGATCTTATTCTTGATTTCCCTGCTATTTGACTGTGACCATTAGCAGAATGCAGAAGTGTCTTTTAAAACACCACACTGTTCAAATGTTTGTTTTTACCTCCGTTTAAGATAAATCCAGACCAGCAGGCACACTGTAGGCATGCTAACACCCCCCTTTGCCTTAGTTACTAAACGTTGTCCAAAACTTTCACGTTTGTCAGATCATTTGTGTTAGTCTGGTTAGTATAATTAATGATGGTATCTAGCCTATAAATGGCAATGGATGAGATTATGGGTTTGGAATTCCAACAGTTCTGAGTTTGCTTTCCTACTCCATCCCTGAACTCAAGCTCAGTATGACCTTGCATGACTGTTTAGACTAAGTATCAGTTTCCTCATGTGTAAAATAAGGAGAACGATATCTACATGTAAGGCTGACGTGAGGTTTATCTAAACTGATGTACAGGAAGCACTGAGCACAGTGCCTGACCCACAGTACAAGTATTACATATTAGATATAGTTGTCACTTTTGATAACAAAACTGTACCATCCACTATGAGTCATTAAATACTATGTCCTTCACAAGATGATAATGTTATTGGAGGGTATCTAAAGACTTTTGTAAAAGTTCATCTCTTGCTTCCTTTGGAACAGACCCCCCAAAATAGAATAAATAAATAAAGGAATGATTAGCACCATTATCTTAATGTAACAGTTTATAATATGGAGAGATATGACCAATACATTAGGTTGAATATTGATTATACAACTTGGGGGAAAATGTGCATGAATGCAAGCGTGCAGGAACCCAGTGAATCCAGCATGGCCCTGAAATTCAGCCATGTAATGAACAAAGATCTCAAGCAAAACTGCTGGGAGTCAGGCGAAGCAACACTGCCTGGGGGAGCAGAATTTCCTGGGCAGAGCAGCTCCTGGCCCTGGCCTCCTCCCAGGAGAGCCCTGCCTCCCTGAATACATATTCAAGGACTCTAAAACACAGAGCAGTTTCACAACCCACTCCCTGTGCACGGACCTTGGGTGGGGAGGCACGGAACTTCCTGGCAGGCACTTAGACCTCAACAATAAAACACCTATAAGCCCCTATGAGGACATGGAGAACTCTCGCTGGACTTCTCCTATAGAAGGAAGGGGCCTCCACCCATTTGATGAATCGCACTGCAGCAACCTCTTGACATATGAGGCTGGCACTGGTTCTGAAACTTCCCTGTTACACTTTTCACTTTTAGCAAGAGAATATGTGTTAGATATGGTTCCAGTATTTTAAGTCCTCAGCCCTTTTTGGAATGTCTCTCCTGTTGAATGATCTTATAGAGCAAAGAAGATTCCAAATCAACAGCTCAATTAAAAACACTTCCCTGGATCAGAGGAAGCAGGGAGTGGCGTGTTATTTCAATTAGCACAAGAACGGGAAATAATCCAGTTTTTCTTGGGACTAAAGAGTTGCCTGAAATTGCCACCCAAAGCCTCTGGTCACTGAATAATAGTCCTGATTGTGAGGTTCGAAATCTTACTCAGGAAAATAGAATGGAAGAAACAGGGCAACAATTGGCTCTGAAACTTTCTTCACACAAAAATGCCAGGTCTGTTGGAGGGCAGTCCACAGTCCACTTGTAATTGTGCCTGGCAAAAGTGTGGCATGCATGGCCCCTCGTGTGACTCTGCACAAGCATTTGTCCCCCACACAGTGGTCACACGCGTGCCACCAAAGCACTGGGCTCCCCGTGCTAGATGGCCTCTGATCCATTCCACTTTTCTTTGTTCCTCTCCTCACTAACTTTTCCTCCTTCCCGCCATACCCAAATCTCGTTCAAAAGGATTTAATTCCTGTAACACTTTCATAGGAAGAAAGGGCTTTACTTGGTGACTTTGGGTTTACAGGATCGCTGGTGAACAATCAGTCTGTCTGGCAGGAAGGTACGCCCACAAGTACTGCAGGGAACCAACTGGCTCTGGGCACTTGTCCAAGCAGCTTCGTTTAAGGCATCGAGATCATAGAAACCTTTGGCTGGAAAGTTAAAGAAAAAAAGAATAAAAAAGAAAAAAAGAAAATGGTAAAATGGATCAGTTTCCATTGTGGAGAACCATATTCTACTTTTTATGGAAAATATTTTCAGGAAATACCTGTTGACTGAGGCTTTTAAACAAATCATATTACTTTGGCCAAAAAAAAAAAAAAAAAAAATGCTGTTCACTCAAGAGTGGAGTCAAGTTAGCTATGAACCAGAGGCTTTTCACTCCTTAGAGTTTAAAAAGGGAAAGACATTGTTTGATGTGTTATGATGTGCATTCTTTACTAATTATTAACATCTTTGCTTACACATTATTATCTTGCAAATATAACTTTTGGCCCTCTTTCAGTTGACTCTAAATATAAACTTACAAAGGAAAAAGAGCATGTATTTGTATTTTCCTCTTCCGTAATCCTTCAGTGGAATGTTTTCAGAGGCCAAAACTGACAGTCGAGAGTGAATTTAAGATAATTTATATCATAAAAATTTATCATCTCTTTCAGGCCGTAAACTCAGAGATTCTTTAAGTAATTAAAGTGAAGAATGCAAACAGAATAGTTGATCTGCCGAAAAGAAGTGCCTTTAAGAAAACAAAGAAGACAGCTGAAAGATGTATAATCTTCATTGGCAGAGCAGAGGAAAAAAGGCATATGGCTTTATTTTAGAGAAACAGTGTGGGATTTAGCTTTAATGAACCTTATTTAAATAGAATGACTTTAGTACATTAAATTGACTATGTCTTAGAATCTCCCCAAATAGGCTCCCAAAGTGTAGCCAGGCATTCAAACATAGCTTTTTTTTTTTTTTTTTTTTATCATTTTCATAGCATATATTTCCTTGTTAAAGCCTAGGCAATTCTCATATGATTTCTGTCTAATGGTTCACGCAACCATAGCAAACCTCAGATTCCTTAACGTGCCTACACTTAATATTCTTTTTTTCCCCCTTCCATGGAAAATTAATAAAGTCCCAGCAAACCTAGTATTTCTCCTTTGGATAAAGCAAGTATCACTTTCTACATAGGATATGAAAGTGTTTCTGAGTGCTTTGAAAACGGTGGCAAAAAGAATGGTACTGACTTTCTTCTTGCTCATAAGTTTTAATATGACTAAACATTCCAGAGTAGTCACTGTAAGATGATTCATCACATCTCTGAAAGTGTTCGCACAGGGCTCTGACTTTGGATCTGAAGGAAGGGCTATTTGAACTCGATGACTACACTAAATCCGTGGGTGGAAGTGGTAATGGGAATTCTCTTGGCCTGGAGACGAAGGACACCTTCAGAAATAAAAATAAACTGAGGCCAACAGGAAAAGTACAGGGAGTGCAGTTACAAGACCTACTTTCTCAGTGTGTAGACAATGACAAAGGAACGAACCCATCGGGCCTTTTCTTCCACCGCGTTTAGACTTGTGATAATGATGCTCCAGCAGAGAAAGTGATAAAGATGAGAAGGGAAGGAAACACATTTTTGATACCAACTGAGAACTGCTACAAAAAAAATCTCTTTGTAGGCAAATGCTCTCATTTCAATAGATGGATGTTTTCATCTTGAGCTCTTTTCCCACCTGTACTCAGTCCTCCTCTTAGCGAGAACTGTGAATAGTCGAGTTCTAGAAGCATCTAGTACTTTGTTGTGATAACCTAGATTCCATTCTGTGGGTTGTTAAAAATTCTCTTTGGGTCACAGTTCTAATGAGAATGCTTCAGACTAAATGATACCAAATAACCTGCAAGGTAGCTTTCCAGCTCTGCAACTCCATGGCTGCAGAAGGAGAATGAATGAATTGAATAAAACTCCGCTTAAAACCAAGAATGATGTTCTTTTGAGGGGAATTAGAGGATCAACTGAGACTATGACAATGGTAGAAATGAGAAAGTCAGAGCTTGTATGGCAAAAATCTTCTCTGAACTACTTTACTCTCATACCCTAAATGAAGACGCACACAGCTCTGTAACAAGCCCACACAGGGTAGTTTATGGAGTTTCAGTTTCATTTGGCTTGTGTATTGCTTAACAAAGTACTAATGGCAAACGTTTGAAAATCTGGACATTTCCCACAGATGTCTAGATTTCCAGTTTCTTTTGTATTTTTGAAAGGAATGACTATACTGTGCTAAATTTCTTAGTGATAACACCAGCTGGAACTGGGCAGCAGCTGCCTGTTCAGAGGGAGCTGGTGCTTCCCTGCGCACCATAGTCCTCACTGCCCCTTCCCCAGGCATGGGCCAATGTATTCTATTTCGGAGCCTGATTAGTGGACCCTGTAAGCATTTGAGTCTGGTACTCCTGTTCTACAAACTCTAAGATGCATTTATATTTGAAAACATGTCACCAGGTGACCCCAAAGGTGTTTTAAGCTTCATGGTTTTAAAATATTATGTTTCGCCCTGGCCGATTTGGTTCAGCGGTTAGAGCATCGGCCTGCGGTACAGAGAGACCCGGGTTCGGTTCCCGCTAAGGGCGCGTACCTCGGTTGCAGTTTGTCCCCGGCCCTGGTTGGTCGTGCGGGTGGCAACCACTCGATGTGTCCCTTCACGTCGATGTTTCTCTCTCTCTCTCTTCCTCTTTCTCCCTCCCGCTCTGTCTGAACAAAAATGTCCTCGGGTGAGGATAAAAAAAAAAAAATATATTATGTTTCACAATATAGAAAAGTAACTTTTGAGAACTATGTAAATTCCAGTGGGTCCCTCGCCTTGCACAGTTTGCTGGGATGCAGTGTCTTTATGTCTCAGCATCTGAGGACAGTACTTTCGGGAGGCATTCCAGAACTATTTTTCCTATTCAGTTGTAGCCAAGAGAGTAAATATTGCTGATTTCAGTTGTGTGAACAAGAGAGAAAAGAATATCTCTACTCTTTCAAGTTGAGAGAGAAAAGTCTCCCCTTCTGCACCCAAGCCTTTCATCCAAAAGCTTACCACTAATGGTCCTGACTTCAGGTTTTTTAGGTTCCGGTCTCCTTAACTCCTTAGGCAACAAGTTGTTTTCATTATGCCATTTTTTCAGACATTGTGGCTCATGGATGGCAATCGATTTTGTTCCGTATTCACGACCACAAATGTAGCAAATAATCGTTGGTGGACGCCTGATCATTGTTGGACGCCTGATCATTGTTGGCTGCAAATGATAGAAAATATCTGTTAGACAATGTTTAGGAAATTATATTTTAAAATTATAAAGTTTGGAAATTATATTTTAAAATGTTAAAGTTTGGAAATTATATTTTAAAATGTTAAAGTTTGGAAATGATATTTCAAAATTATAATACATTCAAATTAGCTAGAAAATCAATGTGTTTTTAAAAAGTTCCAACCAGTCTGGTAAAGTTCGCCTTTTTGGAAATTAGGAGACCCAAGTTATGTTATCTGAGTGATTGGGGTGGAATGAGGGTGTAGGTTTGGAAGGAGAATAGAAAATAAACACGAGTTAAGCAGAATTCTACGTATTGTTGCTTTTTAAAATATATCTTTTCATTTAATAAATATTGATTATTTTTTGACTATTCTCCATGATGGGAGAATACAATGATAAATTAGGTATGAATCATCATCCTCTGAAAACCATCAGGCTCTAGTATATCAATATGTCTAAGAAATAAAGTAATAAGTGTCACTGGAGAGTTTATAACAGTGTTATGCCTGCCCACATCCTCTCATGTAAACAACTTTCGACTGCAAACTCCTATAACTCTGCCATTTTTGACCTGGAGTAGGCTCCACCCACAGGCAGGGTAGCTAATCAATTACAGGCGGAAGTGGGTGCATGCCCAGCCCCCTTCCCCAGGCTGATTCCATGCAGTCTTCCTGAAGTCCCCACTGGGATTACACCCCAGTGTAATCCCAATACAGTGTGTTATATAGTGTGTTATTGCTCAATAACACACTATGTAGGCTCCCTTTTCTTCCCCATCTCTTCTCCCACTTCTTTAGTGGGCTTTCCTGGGATTGCCACCCAAATAAATGAATTGAATTCCAATCTTTTTCTTAGCATTTGTTCCTCGGAGAACAAGATCTAAGGAAGACTTAAGGATAAAATGCATGAGGGAGGTACTGCTTCTGTCCAGTATACTGGAAGTTAGAAGAAACATTGCTTCCATCTAAACAATGAGAGCAAATCGGATAACCTACAGAATCACAAGCCCACTGGAGACTCTAGGTTCACGATAAATGAGTGAACTAAAGGGACTGCCTAAGTTTGATAGTGGATCAGCAGAACCAAGAGAAAACCTCCCCCACTCCAACCTTACGTGAGCATGCACAGCAGTTGTCTGCCTCATAAAGCGGTGGGAAAACTGACTGTGAACCCCACTCTCCCACCTACCTGGCCTTACACCCAGGAAGAGGAGATAACAGTGGAGAGAGGCAGGAGCATTGAGAGAAACCATCACCTAATCAAGAACACAGGGCCTGCCTACATCTGAGGGGAGAGCTAGGGAATTAGGCCTTGCACTGAGTACCAGATAAGAGCAGTCTACTGCTTGGGGTGGTGGCAATAGGAGGGACTGCCTCTCTGTTGCAGGCACGTAGGGCCCATGGGAGTCTAAGAGTGCAGCAGGGGAACTGGGAGGAGCCCTTCCTTCAGCTCCAGGACTTGCACTAAGTACAAGGCAGGGGCAGTTACCATTGGGGGGATTTAGAGTTATGTCCATTGAACATCGCTACAGCAAAGGAAAGGCCCGACCCTTGCTCAGTTACAGATGACATTGACACAACCGCTTCTACTCACAGCCGGACAGAAGACGCAGACTCATTTCTGGGCATAACTATACTTTACCTCAGCATCAGACAATGTCCAACATTCAGTTAAAATTATAAAGTGCACGTGCGTGCGAGCGTGCACACTCACACACACAGACATTAGGATCCATCACTGTCAGATCCTAAGTGTAACCAGATCAAGGTATGGCCTAGATATTGGGAGTATCAGAGTTTTTAAATACTTCTTTTAAAAATAATTATTTTAATTAAACTTTAAAATAATTATCTAAACCAATTGTAATAATTATGTTAAAGGCTCTGGAGGAAAAGGTGGGCAGTATGCATACATATATGGGAAACTAAAGCTGACAGATGAAAAGCAGGTACAAAGTATTCAAGAAAACCCAATGATAGGAAACTGTGAAGCAGGGGAATAGCCCAACGTTGCCTTTCAGGAGAGTTTGCTTTTATCTTAAGACAGAGTAGGAGGGGGAGAGGAAAGGAGAGAGAGAAATATCAATGTGAGAGCGACACATCGACGGGTTGCCCCACACGCGACCCCAACCAGGGCTGGGGACAAACTGCAACCGAGTTACCTGCTGTTAGTGGGAACCGAACCCGGGTCTCTCCGGTCCGTGGGCCAACGCTCTAACCGCTGAGCCAAACTGGCCAGGGCTGCCTGTAATGTATCTAAACGGGCTAGCAGGGCAGCATATCTCTGAGGTCTGAACGCTCACGGCTCTGGGCGGTAGGACATCGTGGATCCAAGAAGACTCCACGGTTTTATTCTAGGTCACAAGGAAGGTTGGTGTGTGACTTACTGAAAAGGGGAAATCAGGAAAGGCAGGCTGGGGAAGGAGAAACAAAGTAGAACCTATTGCATTTGACATAGTAGTAGAATTTCAATGTGAACAAATCCAGCTTACAGGAAACAGGGGCCTGTGATTCAGGACTCATGTGCTTCAGAGCCATTCACACAGAACAGACATCTGAAACCATGAACGTTCCAGAAAAGGAGTATATGGAGTTTGTTTGGAGAAAAATCCTGGGGAGAATATCTACAGTAAGGAGACTGGGCAAGAGAAATCACAAGCCTAAGGAGATAAAGGTTTGAGTTTACAGTTAAAGGAACAGGGGATGCAGACAAAAGACTCCATTCAGAATTCTGGAAACACTGCTGGTTTCCAGAAAGATGGTGTCAAAGGCTACGTTGTCAAATGCTACAGAGAGGAGTGGCAGTTGAAATAGATCGATATATTTGGTTACCAATAGATTATAAATCATTGACTTTTGAGAGTTCAGTTCTAATGGACTATAAGAATAAAAACTACATTTTTTAGGAATTAAACATCAGATTGAAGAGAAGAGGAATACAAGTCTAAGAAGTTGGCAGAGAGGAAGTTTGAGAGATAAACAGCATTGAAAAAAGATTTGTGGTGTTGTTTTTAGGATAGGAGAATCTTTGGCAGAGAGACCGCAGGCCTGAGAAGAAAGAGATAATTAATTTTTAAAAGGCCTCAGAGGCCTGGCTGGTGTGGCTCAGTGGCTGAGCACTGACCCATGCACCAAGAGGTTGCTGGTTCAATTCCTGGTCAGGATACATGCCCAGGTTGTGGGCCTGATCCCCAGTGGGAGGCGTGCAGGAGGCAGCCAATTGGTGTTCTCTCTCCTCGATGTTTCTTTCTCTTTCTCCCTCTCCCTTCCTATCTCTCTCTCTAATATCAATGAAGAAAAAAAAATGTTAAAGGCCTCAGAGGAGGTAGAAGGAGATGTAATCAAAAGTGTAATTGGAAACAGTAGCCTCTGAGGAGGGGGAAGAAAGAAGAAAGAGATGAAGTTAGAGAAAGTCTGTTGGAGAGTAGGGAGGCGCTCACGGCGCACATATTCCAATTTCAACCGAAGATGAAATTGGTCTTCCAAGGATGAGGCAAAGTGATCTTCAGAGACTAGAGAGATTCAAATTCTGGGAAATAGAATAGTAAAACATACTGGGTTTAGGCACGGCAAGGACTGTAATCATGATTCAATTAGGGAAGAACACTCACCCAATAATGGATAAGACCCAGTTAAGTTGAGCTTCAAGAAATTTTAGTGGAATTAAATGACCTTTTCCAAGAAGTTCTTGAGTAACCCTGGGTGGCATGAAAGTAGAAACTAAGTTGCTGGTGTGGTTTTCTTTGGGGAAATAAAACATGGTAAATATGTGTGTGTTTTAGAATCAGCCTGCTTTTAACTAAGACTTGGAAGTTACACCTGCAGGGGAGAGACACAAAGATTAAAGTCTAAAGAAAGCACATATATGATTTCTGCATAGCCAAGCAGAAATAACATATTTTAAACGAATAAATCCACAATTAATATAGACCAAGCGAAATGGAAAATGGAGGTAGGTACTCACTTAAGGATCTTAAATTTTTTAAAAAGCACATTAATTTGAGGTAGAATATTTTTATTTTATTATTCTGTACTGAATTATAGCAATAGGTTGCATTCACCAAAATAACTAAATAGTTGTTAATCTTTCTTTGTTATTCACCAGGTAACATCTAACATCTGAAAAATGACTTAAAACATTAGTGGAATTTAAGACTTAAGAGAAAGAATAAAGCAGAAGCAATACTTTTCAAAATATTCAAAAGTTTACTATTTTTTACATGTTTATTTACTTGAAAGACTAATTAAATGCAGGGGTTTTTTTAGCTTAAAAATGAGAAGTTATTCTTTTTGCTTTGAGAATAATGAATTTATTAAAATTCCATATGGAAAGTATGAGCCAAATCCACTATTTAGCCAAGCATGTAAGCAAAATAAATGGCATGGGTCATAAATGAAGGCATTCATGTCACATTGTCGGAAGGTTTCTTTTGGAAAGAGAAATTAGAAGAAAACAGGCAAACACAGAGGCCAGAAGACATGCACAAAATAACATAAAGGGATGTGGGAGAAAATTAATACCATAAAACGGCTAAGATATCCTATATTATATTTTCCAAAGCACACCGCGTGCTCTGTATTTGTGGTTGAACTGCAGTTGAACCTGCAACATATTCCATATTCTTAGGTTTTGAACATCTCACTGCTAAAGCCACGCTCTGGCGAAATGCAAGCAGCCCAGACACAGCCCAGAAGAAAAACGCATCCCCGTGGGTCTGAATGGAGATAAGACACCCTCTTCTACTTTTAGTTAATTTCACGATTGTCAGCCTGAAACTTCCAGGGAAAGCGCAATAAGCTCCAACGTGCGGTTATTGCCAGTACCCCAACTGCAAGGTTTCACCCTTCGGTCTCTGTGCGGTTTGCAGAGGGCAGTGCTTGTATGGGGGACGGAGGAGAAGGACGGGAAGAGGAGACCAGAGGCCTGGCAGAAGGCACCATGTCCTTTCTTGGCTCATGCGCTAACTTGGCTCAGTCTAACGGAGC